TGGTCTAGAGATTGTCTAAAGATGCTGTTTGTATGACACTGACGTGTTAAAATAAAAAACAGTCAGTTTCAGTGTCTGGCAGTGTGTGTTACAGTACCATTTTCAAACTTTTAACCCAGGTTTAATTTAACTCGGTGTTGGAGCTCCACATTGTTTGAAAAATTAATTTCCTAAAATTCCAGGTAGATTGATAGAGACATATAAAGTTATATTTGTTATCTAGTTTAATGAACAGGACCATGTTCAGTTCTTCATGTTCAGTTCATAAAACATGCAATATGCATGAAACATGCAATATTTCATGTTTGTTTTTATTTAGTTAGTTTATTAGGAAATAGATGAGTGTAATTACAAATAAGTTAATTATTGACTCTAGTTTCACTATCTCCTCCTTCACTTTCAGTCAAAGAGTTATAATTACTCCTGAAATAAGTCTATTATCTAAGTCTGTTGTGTCCTGTAATGTACTAGGAGAAATTACTCTTTAGGGACACTGTCATTACTGTGATAACATTCTTTATTTATTAAAACAAATTAAAGTAGAGATAAACTGTGTTTCTGGTCCAGCACTCACTTCCTGGACTACCTGGTCCATCTGTGACCTCAGTTTAACCAGAACAACTCAACATAAATCAAACTAAATCACATTTTAATGATGACTAAATGCAGCACATTATTTATACTGTATCCATATGTCAGTTCAACATGTGGCCTTCAGCTTCTTTAGCTGCTCCTAAAATGTAATATCTATAATTTAATGCCTCCTTCTGTCATTTCTGAGGTTTTATTAGTCAGCACAGAGCTGACCTCTGACACCAGGTGTCCAGCTCACCACAGCTCTGACCCGACCCAGAGTTTACTGATCAGACTGAGTGGGAGATTAAGAAATGTGACCACAAAGCTGAAAGTCCTGCTGCTGTTGACTTTCATCATCCCTCGTCTTCATCAGATGGTTCCCAAATGAAGATGTTTGTTGAATCTCTGTTGTGTTGCAGACTTTTACACATAATCAGGTTCTGCTAAGCAGTAATTCAGAGGTTACTCAGCTGAAACACAGCTACTGTGGGGCTATAAAGCTAATAATGCAGTTTGATTTTTGCTTGATGGTCCAGCTGAGAGTTTAAAGGTCAATCAGAACATCTGATCTCTCCGTACCTGAAATGATAAACCTTCATCTGCTTAAAATGGCAGCTCTTTCACAAGACTTGGTGTTCTTGATTTGATGTACTTACTGTTTGCCTTCTTTCTGTTATCTAAAATAAATGGAAAATATTTATTTGTCAATAGTTGGAAACATAGAAATTAAAAATACCTAAAATGTGAATACCGTAAAAATCTGTCCCGACATCAGCCTGACAGTCTGAGATTGCCCTCTAGTGGAAATCAGCAGAAGTGCATCGCTGCAAAGTGTTTGGTTTATTTAGTTGAGTTTTGAAATAAAGTGTATGAAAGGTGTGAGCGTGGCCATCATAGAGACCAAGATAAATACATTTTGAACCTTCCCCAACTTTATTGTGATCTAAAAGCTGTATAATAACATAATTTTTTTAAAGATATAAAAAGGGCTTATTTAGCAGATTAAGCATGTATATCTTTTCATAACTGTGAATGTGTGTTTGGAATTAACTGGCACATTCAACTTCGTGTCCTAAAGGAGTCATTGCACATCTTCCATCATGTAAGATGCATTTTATAAACACCAAATAAAGCTTAGCTGTTTTAGGGCATTTTCTGACATTTTCTTAGTCAAAACCTTGGTATGCAGAGAGCTTCCACCAAACAGATCGCACTGTCATGTCGTATCAGTCAGGAGGATGATACAAACAATTTCCAAAGCTTCAGATCTACCATAGAACAGCAAAGAATACCATGAAGAAGTGGAGAAACTTTTGTGCAACACTGTCCAGACTTTTCCCTCCACTATGGATTAAAATCTGTAAATTGGTATGTAAAGGACTATATTCAACCATAACCCTGAAATCTGACGGATTTGGAGCATTTTTCAAAAGAACATTGGGAAAACATTGCCACTACCCACTTCATGAAGAAGACAATGTTGTATTTCAAAAGGCCGTCTGCACTTCAATCAGAAAAACAACTTTGGGAATGTTGTTCAACAACTTTCTTTGCTTTTCCTCCTACCCAGTTTTCTTCCTTCACTAGAGACAAACAAATTCCTGTAAGCAGCTCATCTGTGTCACAAGCTGTTTGGTTCACACCTTGAGTGGAGAGTGTTGTCGTCTTCAACACAAGACTAAAGAAACTGTAAGTTTGCTCTGTTTTAGGTTGTACTTTATCTTTAGAAAACTCTTTTTGTTTGATTCTGTTTTCTGATTCGAGAAAACACTTTCTTCTTATTTTAACATGTATTGATTTGTTTATTCTGAAGAGGAATGCAGAGGATTACTGGAATATAGCCTAACTTAAATAATTGTGGATATTTATTTCTTCATGAAATTGATTAATGTTTCTAATATCCTGAACTCAACCTTTGGTTTCACCATAAAACTCAGAAACAAAAACTTCCTGTTGAAATGGGTTTGATTCTACTTAAGTTATACTTTGGTGGAGTATAAGATAGATGTTTTAGAGGTCTATTACATGGTGTGTTAAAAATATACCAGATATGCTGAAAGTTTATTGATAGTTTTGTATAAGAATAGATCATCATCATTTTAGTTAATGACTGTGAGATAAATAATGAAAGCAGAGTCTTGGAAAACACCGTTGAGAACAGAATGCTGCAGAACCGCATCAACTACAAAACAGGAGGAACAATTTTTCAACTGAAATGTTTCCTTGTTGGCGCTGTCTCTCTAACCACAAGATTTATGATGTACGACAAGCCTCAGGTTCTGCTCAAAGCACCAGTAAGCAACTTTATAACCAGGAACTGAATACAGAGATTGTTGGCTGTGATGAATTTTTCATGAAGTTTTGCAAAGTGTCTAAAATCAACTGAAGGTCTGACAATTGTGTCTGGATGATGCTTTGGTGGTAAACACTAATGTTGCAGGTGACCATATACAGTTGAATTTTCTTGTAATGTTGAGCCATAAATTAGTTTATTGTTCCTGGATTTTGGGTGATGGATACATTTGGAACAACGTTTAGTCTCACCTGGAGGTATAATTTATTTAATTTAATTATTTTAATATAAATTACATTGTATTTAATATATTTGCATAACAAACCTTTGGATGTCCTATGAAATCTAACATTTATTTCTAATCAGATTTTTTGTTCTAATGTTCTAAAAGTTGGTACATGGACATCCAAAATCTAATGAGTAAATTTGAGTTTGGTACTTTGAATATGGATTATTTCTTAAATGCTCTCAGATGTTGAACTGTTATTGTGGAGCAGGTATACTGTAGTTTGTTCATGCAAGCTGCAGCTCAATGTCTCCATCTAGTGGACTGATATGGTTGATGTACAGCAGCTTCTTCATC